AAGCACAACATATCCATTCATTAGCATATCTTCCCCACCCTTCACCCCAAAAAACTTAAGTTATTAAATAATATCTGTGCAGTTGTAGCAACTTTGCCCAATAACTCTATTTTGGTTTTGGCAGAAGTGTGGGAATGACATAGCCTAACATAATTCTCAGTATTCATCTTTGTCTTTTAGAATGAGTTTGAAAATTTTTTTTTATTCTGTGATTTCCCTAGAAATAACATGGCACATTTCTTCCCACCTTTACCAGTAATGTAAACAAATCTGGGTTTGTGAAAAAATTTCTTCATCTGTTTTGTCACTTAGTTATTTTCATGACGTAAGTGTCATTTGTTTTTATTTCTGTCAAGTTGAGGATTTCATTATTTGTTATCTGATCAGCAAGCATAAAATGTGATATGTATGTATTTGTTTGTGTATTTCTGTGGCCATCCACCACACTGCAATGCAAATCTTCAACTTGATATTTCATCTCTATTTCTTATACTTTGTTTACTACATAATTGTATGCCACATATAAATTAACTGTTAATCCTATGCTTCATATTTCAAAAAGTCACATTGATATTTAATCCTTTTATCAGCATTTTGAAAATCCTCTCCTTCAAGAGCTCTGAGCTGTATTATTTTTATGGTTTAGATACTTAAGACGTATTGTTTAATAACTGCTCAGGATTTGGGGAACATCATGGCCAAGTGGACTTGTATAATATGCTTAAGTCCTGGGAATCTGCACTCTTTCTCCTATAGGAAGGTTGGGTTGAAGGATGAACATATTGATATTTCCTCTGGTTCTGAAAGAAATCACGTGTATAAATAGTGTCAATTAAAACTCCTGTCCTAAAGTCATTCTAAAACAGCTGTGCTTTTCTTTTAAATGCACTATGTCCTTGGACATGTTTCTTTTTTTTTATTTATTTTTTTAATTTTTTATTGTTATGTTAATCACCATATATTACATAATTTGTTTTGGTGTACTGTTCCATGATTCATTGTTTGTTCATAACACCCAGTGCTCCATGCAGAATGTGCCCTCCTCAATACTCATCACCAGGCTAACCCATCCCCCTCCCCTCCAGAAACCTCAGTTTGTTTTTCAGAGTCCATCATCTCTCCTGGTTTGTCTCCCCCTCTGACTTACTCCCCTTCATTCTTCCTCTCCTGCTATCTTCTTCTTTATCTTTTTTCTTAAAATATGTTGCGTTATTTGTTTCAGAAGTACAGATCTGTGATTCAACAGTCTCACACAATTCACAGCGCTCACCGTAGCACATATCTTCCCCAATGCTTGGACATGTTTCTTAACCACTTTGACCTTGGTTTCTCATCTCCGAAGTGGAGATGATACGACTCCTTACCTCAAAGTATTGCAAAAAATACTGATTTCAGGTCTATTTAGGGCCTACTACCCTCACTTGAGAAAGTCAGAAAGACTAATAGGGTGCATGTTTTAGCTTCCCCTAGCCATTTGGAGAGGTTAACCACAAAACCTGAAAAAAAAAAAAAACAAAACAGGTATCAGAGATTCTTTGTTCTCTTGACTCTTCAAGCTCAAAAGCAGGAGGGGAGCAGATAGGAACCATAAGCTTCGATCCTCAGGTTTTATACATGAAATAAGAAGTTCTTTCCTTAAAAAATTAAGTGAATTAAATTAAAATTAATTCAAAACATTTTATATAGCCTTGAAAGAAATGCAAGTACCTTCACTTCTGCATAAAAAGAATGTTGAGAGGTGATCCCATCTGCTGTGTGATCACAGAAGAAATTTCAGAGGTCTGGAGTACCTTCCTACAGGTTTTTAATGTTGGAAAATAAACACAAATAAATTTAAAATTGGACAGCTTAGAGTAAACAGGGGTTTGGCCTACATACCTACTTCTGAATATATGTTTTCATGTTTTTGATATGTCAAAAATAGTTGGACGGCACAAAAATTTAATTTGGCTAAAGAAATAGAGGTTGAGCATATTAAATATTCGTACATACTCAATAGTATTGACTCACAAAAATCCATCATTTAAAAATTGTCCACTCATCAATTTTATGGGATTAAGAATCAATGCAGAATAATATGTTAATTCATAAATGTTTGCTACACATTCTGGATACTTTTGAGTATTATAATCCCTAAGAAGATTTTTAAAAAGAAACATGAAGAATGTTTGATTGCAAATCTATTCATAATCTTGCTCAATCAGCAGTATTGCTACTAGTAATGCTATGAAGTTCACAGCAAGTCTACTGAATTGCTGGAGTGTGACACAGCTGGCTGGTTATTTTGGGTTTCTTAATGCTTGCCCTGATTATGTGGCATTCAGCTAATTATATGACTAAATATCTGACTCAACTACAGAGTAGTTAATTCACTGACCACATATGGACACAACAATGTTAATCTTTCCTTCCAGTGAAAAATTAGACATAATCATTCCAAGGAAAATGAATATACTGGACTCCTAGAGTTAGTATACATTATATTTTATGATGTGTCCCTCTGTCATGCTATTTTCAGTACCTCTATTTCCATCCCTCACAAAACTTGGTTGGGCTATGCTTAGGTCATAAAAACTCTACAATAAAGCTTACGTGAATCAATTACTCTTTGATCTCATGGTGCTCTGCAATCATTTAGCATTCTTTGCATCATATACATTCGTCTCCTAGATCAATACTATTCTCCAGAAATATTCTTATTCTCTTAGTTTACTCTTGCTTCCTAGTGGAAAGTACCTGTCTTTCAACACCCAATTTCACTGATGAATCTCTTGTTAGTTCTTAAGATACACATGGCCAGACAGTTATGCTTAAGGAATATGCTGAGTCAGTCCTAAAAGTCAATCCTAAAATCCTAAAAAGTGTTAACCAACATGGGAGGAGAGGCGTTTTTAAATAAATGATAAGAAAAAATAATGAAAAGCGTAATGTAATCAAGTGATTTTTTTCCCCCTGAAAAGATAATGCTGTAGAATGTTATTTTTGTTCTGTTTAACTAGGTTGGCTCTGATTATTTTCACAATTATAGAGAAAATGGAGTATAGGTGTTATTTTTTTCTATTGTAGAAATCCTCTGAAAAGAATTGCTGAGAAATTGTTTTAGTGGAAAGATATATCATGTTAACTGTAACGTTACAAGTGTTGTCTATTTTTACCTGAGGAAGGAGAAGTGTCTGTAATAGTGATGTTCTGAATGCATTTTCCCCACAGTATCCAAATTCATCTTATAATTAACTTGGTTAGAATTTTAGATTATTTTTAAAGTTGGCATGGAGCATAGTTTTGGACTTGAAAAATTACCATGTCCTCAATCTTCCATGAATTCCACAGTAAGATGTTCATTTTGGCTTCTGTTCACATGCAGCTATTTTCCAAGGCAGTCCCATTCATAATATTCTTACTGTGATGGGAATGAATAGTATCTAATCTCATATAGTACACAGATCATGGCTAGAACAAATACTATATCATATGATATAATGGCATAATTAAGTATATATAACTTGAAAAAATTCTTTCTAACTATTATGATGTGTTATTTTTGTTTTGTTTTGTTTTCTCTGAGGAGCTCGTCCTAAATAACAGACTTCGCTTAATTGTGTGAGATGTTTGTTGTGGTAGCTAAATGTTATCAGAGATCTAGAAAGTAATAAGATGTATTAATTGAGAGAGATAAGGAAAGATATAAAAGCCAGTATTTTTAATAGCAGAGCACACACTTTACTCTTTAATTAAATCTAACTTGTTTGAGAATTTAATTAAAGTGGCAAAGAGCACAAGGAAGAATATTGTGAGAAACTTTCATAACGCAGTCAAACCTGCAAAAATACAGAAAGAAGAAATCAGCTTATTTCGCCTTTTCTTTAAAGGCTGATATAAGGAAAGAAAAATAAATCGTGTGTGTGTATGTGTGTGTGTCTTCATGAAGCTGTAGATTGAATAGATTTAAATGATTTTTTCTAAATTACCAAACTCTTGTTTGTTTCAAATCTGATTTTTCACTTAGTAACTAATTAAAACTTGCCTTTTTTTTAGCAAATTAAAAATATTTTAAGCTATCTTTTAAATTGAGTATCCAAAGATCTGTGTGATAGAATCAAAGAAGCGTCACAAATTGGTTGAAGACAAAATTCATGGTGCTTTTCAAAGCTCCCTTTCAGCATAAGACTGAAATCAGGTTACAAGAATAAAATCAGGTGCAAGCACTTTGTGAGGCCCTGGAGCTTCAGTGGGAAGAACAGGACATCAGATTCTGTCCCTTCTCCCCAAAACACAAAACGTATGTGGCATGTTAGCAGGGGAAAATAGACATTTTGAGGACGTGCTCAAAAAGAACAGAAAGATATTTGGTAGCAAGTGCTTCTCTGAATTATTTAATATCCCAAAAAGGCATATTAAATGTGATAATTCTACTTTTCTAACTTTTCTTTCCCATATAGGTTGGTAGAGAGCAATTACAAATACGTTTGTGGAAAATACTATAAGGAATTGTACTTTCACTTGACCTCAGGATACAGAAAAGCTACCTTCACTTGATTATGTTGATAAAGTTGTTAAAATGACTAAAGCTTAACAAGTAGTACAGATTGGAACATCAAGTCTAATATGTTTTACTTACTTATAGAATAGCATGTGGTTTAGATTGCCGACTGCGTGGCAACTGAACTTTTGTGAATTCACCATCATAAATTCACTTATTAGGAATTCATATCATGTGGTTTTATGAAGATAACAAACAGCAAAGAGTATTCTTAGAAAACAGGTTGAATTAATATAAATGACAATTTGAGCCTATACTAGGAGATCACGTTATTGAGGACAATATTCCTGAATATGTGGTAACTTACTGAAATATAATTTTACCAGGCAGATTATCTTTTTTTTTCCAACCTGGTGAAAAGAAAATGCTTGTTTCCCACTCTTCTTTTTATGCACACCATTTTAGGAGTGAATGTTTCATATTTATTTTTCATTTGTCCATTAATTTTTTTCCTCTTCAGGTGTAATCTAGCCCCTGTGGTGGAGTTTGCTGCAGATGTGGGAACTAAATCAGATTTTATTACCATGAATCCATCAGTTGTACAAAGAGCATTTGGAGGCTTTCGGAATGAGAGTGACAGAGAAAAATTTGTTCATAGACTTTCCATGCTGAATGACAGTGTCCTTTGGATCCCTGCTTTCATGGTCAAAGGAGGAGAGAAGCACGTGGAGTGGGTTAATGCATTAATCCTTAAGAATAAACTGAAAGTGCGAACTGCCTATCCATCATTGAGACTTATTCATGCTGTCAGAGGGTAAGTGTCTGGAAAGGACCAGTCTGTCCTTGGCACAATGGAACACATAACTAAACATTTTCCCTAGACAGGAGGGAGCCTCAGTAAAATCTCTCAATGGATATATGTTTCCACTTTTTTTATAATGGCTATTCTATTTATCAAATTGAATTTTGTTTATGTACCATATTATTTTAGCTCACTCTCTTTCTTGAAAAAGCAAATATTTGAACTTGGCACTTATTTACGTCTGCTTTTATGTTTTGCTGTGTGAAAAAGTAGTAAGGATTCATAGTAAAGTTAATGAATTTGAGGTAAGAAAACTACCAACAGAAGTTCTATATGGCTACTGGGCAATATTATGGAAGCATAAATGTTAGAGGTATTTAAGGAGCAATTAAGTCCCATCTGTAGTTAAGAGGCCTACCAGAGATAGAGAAGGCTGGCTGAGATGACATGCCTTAATGCTCCCCCGGCCACAAGTCGCAGATGTCATTTTTATGAATTAAGTCAACATTTCCCTTTTATTAATAAAAGCTCAGATGTAAAACCTAAGAAACGGACTTTTATTTAAAAGCGGCAAGTGACCAAAAGGCCAAATTCAGTCATGCATACGTATAAATCTGTAAAATATGTAATACAAATATAAGCAATGATGTACTTTATTGAATATCTACTGTCAGATATTGGAGGCAGAAAAATGAAGAATGCTGACCACTGCTTTAAAGGAATGCATGGGTTTTACGGTAGAAACAAACCCATATATAACTAGCTAGGACATAAACTCATGGTAAGGTGGTATATTGTCATGAGTATAGTATTTGTTTCTCATATTAGCAAAGAAGACTTAAAAGTCTAGTCAAGTCAACTAGACTTGAAGAGCAGAATAGTTATTCACCAGGAATAAAAAGAAAAGGAGACAGAGACAGGGACAGAGAGATGGCGAAAGAGAAAATGAAACAGAAGGAAATATTATTGCATTATTAGAGTGACCTGAGAAGGAAATAAGTACATGGTCAACTTGTGAAATAATGGAGTCCATTGTGGAGCATTGGAATACAAATTTAGAAATATAACTTAAGATCTGGTTAGGAAGAGAATCAATTTTATTTTGCATAAAGCAAAGTTATATGTGTGAATTTAGGAGAGTAAATCTTGTAACAGCTGACTTTGCATGGGCAAGAAGAGGTGCTAAAGGTGTGAAGGCCAATTCCACTTTTTGATTAATTTACTCATAAGATGATAAAGATATAGGGCAGAATCAGTGGCCATGGGAAGGAAGGGCAAGTGCAAGGGACCTATTAAGTAGAATGGCTGGAAGTTCTAAAAGAAAAAAGGTTTCCAAATGCAGAGTTAAAAATAGTCTGCTTCAAAAACTGTAATTGAGGCTGGGCTAAGGTAGTTTTCATTGTGTTTTGTTAATGTGATACTTTCCTTCCGGGATTGACGATTTCCTTGGTTAAAACTCGAGACAGTTTCTTGGATTGTGTTATTCTGTACACAATTAAATTGCATTCTTATAATTAGATCATGGTTATTCAACATTCATTCTTCTGATGTTTGACATGAAGCTTCAACAAAGTAAGATAAAATACATTCATTTGGAGGATAAGTAATTTTTTTTTTTAATTACGAAGATTCCTGGTAATTACAATCTAACTCTGAAGAAGAGAATCTGTTTTTAACAGGGTAACTTTATACAGCATTGTGCTAAGAACACATCTTATTTTTTGACATGTTAATGTTGAATATCATTTGAATGTGAATTTTATAACACTCTATCTTATTGTCTTATCTTATACACAGACACGCTCTGACACACACGTGCACATATACCTACACACTTCAGTGATAGCTTATTAGATTCAAAAACAAATATTTTATAGTAATTACTCCTTGATTATAGGAAACTAATAAATTTTAAGATTACTGATTTATTACTATTTTTAATAGACTATTTTTAGAGCAGTTTTAGGTTCACAGCAATGTTGAGAGGGAGGGACAGAGACTTCCCATATACTCTCTGCCCCCACAAACGCAGAGCCCCATTATCAACATCTTGTACCAGGGCTTTACATTGGTTACAACTGATAAACCTACACTGACACAACATTATTACCCAAAGACCATAATTTTTACAACAGTTCACTCTTAGTTTGTATATTCTGTGGGTTTGACAGATGTATAATAACATGTATCTACCATTATAGTATCGTACAGAGTAGGTTTGCTTTCCTAAAAGTCCTCTGTGTTCAGCCTGTTCATCCATACCTCCCCACTAACTCATGGCAAGAACTGTTTGTTTGTTTGCTTGTTTTTGTCTTCATAATAAAAATGTATTGCTGAGCAATTTTCCACTGAGCTGATATATCATAATAAGAGATGCATTTACTCATCTCATATATTTAGATTTTATGTAGTTTTCTGTTATTATAGATAATGTCCACTATCTTCTTTTTTTATTATGTTCAGTTTGTTTGGTTTTTTATTGTCTCTATTGTTTTGCCTTTTTTCAAATATCATGTAATAGGAATCATTCAGTATGTAGCCTTTTCAGATTGTCTTCTTGCACTTAGCATTAAGCACTTAAAGTTCCTCCATGTCTTTTCATGGCCTGATACTCATTCTTTTTAGTACAGAATAATATTCCATTGTCTGGTTGTACCAGTTTATTTATTCATTCACTTGTTGCTTCCAAATTTTCGCAATTATGAATAAAGCTGTTATACACATCTGTGTGCAGGTTTTGGGGCGGACATAGTTTTCAACTCATCTGGGTAAATAGCAAGGAGTACAATTGCTGGATCTTATGATAGGACTATGTTTAGTTTTATAAGAACTTGCCAAACTGCTTTCCAAAATGGTTGTACCATTTTATATTCTCAGCAGTAAGGAATGAGAATTCCTGTTGTTCCACATCTTCACCAGTTGGTGCTTTCAGTGTTCTGGATTTTGGCCCTTCTTATAGTTATGTAGTGTTATTTCGTTGCTGTTTTAATTTGCACTTCTCTGATGACATATGATATAGAGCATCTTTTAATATGCATATTTGCCATCTTTATCTCTTCTTCAGTGAGATGTGTGTTGAGGTGTTTGGCCCATTTTTTTAGTCAGGATGTTGGTTTTTTTTTTTTGCTGTTGAGCTTTAAGAGGTTTTTGTATATTTTGGATAACACTCCTTTATCAGATATGTCTTTTGCAAATATTTTCTCCCAGTCTGTGGCTTGTCTTCTCATTCTCTTGACAGTGTCTTTTGCAGAGCTTAAGCTTTTGTTTTTAATGAAGTCCAGCTTATCAATTATTTCTTTCATGGGTCGTGCCTTTGGCGATATATCTAAAAAGTCATTGCCAAACCCAAAGTTATCTAGATGTTCTTCTATGTTATCTTTTTTTTTAAGATTTTATTTATTTATTTGAGAGAGACAGACGTAGTGACAGAGAGCTCGAGCAGGGAGGAGAGGGAGAAGCAGATTCTCCGCTGAGCCGGGACTTGATCCCAGGACCCTGGGATCATGACCTGAGCCAAAGGCAGACGCTTAACCGACTGAACCACTCAGGTGCCCTATCTTCTAAGAATTGTATAGATTTGCATTTCACATTTAGATCTATCATCTATTTTGAGTTAATTTCTGTGACAGATATAAGATCTCTGTCTAATTTCTTTTCTTTATATGTGGTTGTCTGGTTTTTCTAGCACCATCTGTTGAAAAGACTATCTCTGGGGCACCTGTAAGGCACACATCAGAGGACAGGAGAAAGGTTTCAGCACGTGCACAGTCTGGGTTCTCCCGGCAACCTCCAGCCCAAGATGGCACCAGGAGAATCTTAAAAAAAAAAAAAAAAAAAAAAAAGACTATCTTTGCTCTGTTGTATTACATTTACCTCTTTCTCAAACATTAGTTGACTATATTTATGTGTATCTATTTATGGGCTCTTTACCTGTTCTGCTGATCTATTTGTCTATTCTTCACCAACATCATGCTGTCCTGATTATGCTACTTCATAGTAAGTCTTGAAGTCAGGTAGTTTCAGTCCTCTGACTTTCTTCTACTCCATCAATATTGTGTTGAATATTCTGGTCTTTTGCCTTTCCATATAAGCATTGGAATTAGTACTTTTGTTCCCTAAATTGTGTTTTATATTTCTTCATTCACTATCAATATCAAAACACAAAATAAGTGGTATGGTTGGAATGGAGCATGTTCAATGAATTAGAATCCAGATAGAGTTGTACATGATCAACAACTTTGAATTCATATATACTTTTTATAGACTTTCCTAAATATAGAAAGTACAGAGCATTTTAATAACTAGTTCATCAATACTCTCCTTTTATGTTTCATCTTACCCACTTTCCTTCCATAACCATTATAAGCTACTTCACTAATTCCTAAGCATTTGATTCCAAAGAGTAACAAGACAAAACAAACTTCTGACCACTGATGAAGTTAATGGTACACTTTCTTTTGATTACTGTGCTTTAGGTGTTTTTAACAAGACTTATTTTGAATTCTCCAGAAGGAACTTACCTTGCTACTTTACTGCTTATACGTCTACATTCTCCCCCTCAAGTGACAAGTGATTGAATTCTAAAAACTGTGACCCAGGATATAAAAAGTAGCTCTAGAGTTGCTTTTCACCTTTCAAATACATTGTAAATTTGTATACATGGTATATGTGAAAAGTAATTTCACTTATGGAATTAATGACACAAATACATTAATGCATGCAGTGTAGCATTTCAACATGTTTGTACTCTACAAAGCTACTGAAACTCTGAAAGAAAATAAGGAAGTACAAATGCTGATGAGACAGATTCACATGATATGAAAGCAAGAACAAACTCCCCGAAGATCTGTTCTTTACATATCTGTTTTACATCTCTCTGAAACACTGTGGTTAATAAAATTCAGGGAAATAGTTTAGAGAATTTCATAGCCTCTGTTGATTATTGGAGTTTGTTGTCTCTGATAAAAGGTTGGAGCTCCTAGTATGCATAGTTTAGTGTGCACATAATCACT